TATATATATATATACCACACCTTCTTTATCCATTCATCTGTCAATGGACATTTTGGCTCTTTCCACAGTTTGGCTGTTGTGGATGAGACTAGGAACTTTTTATTTTCTGTCTCTTAACTATTCCTGACAGCTACCTCATAATTTAATTCAAATCTTTACCATGTTGTTCAGTCAGGAGTCATGGAAGTTTTTAACCAGGGGAGTGACATGATGAGATCATTTGCGAACTTGTCAGTCTGGGAGATGGGTTAGAAGGCTCTGGAACATGCTAGATTTTAGGATGTTCTGAGGCATAGCCTAATTAAAAGGAAAAGAATGCAGACTTTATGGTGTATCTTCCTGTTGGTAGGTTCTGTTTGATGTGTCTTGTCAAAATGCGAGTGTGCCATTTGCCTTCATTTCTGTTCCTGGCTTTCCTCCCCTCTCTCCAAGTGAAAAATTAACATCTATGCCAAGGTAGCATTGCCAGTGAATAAGAGTAATCAAGATTATTCTAATTAATAAATCAGAAATAACTTTAAAAAAACACATTGATTTGAGGAAAAAATGCCTTGATTTCTTTTTTTTTTAATTTAGGCTCAAATTAAGATTTATTTTTTTATTTTTTTAATTTTATTTTATTATGTTAATGTTAGTCACCATACAATACATCATTAGTTTTTGGTGAAGTAATCCACAATATCTGACCATTTTCTTGGTTTTCTTAGATAATTAAGTTGAAAGCTGAAGCCCGGCTGGAGCTGCTAAAGCAGATCGGTGTTTCTGTGGACACGTGGCTGAAGAGTGCAATGAATCAAGTAATGGAAGAACTGGAAAATGAACGATGGGCTCGCCTTCCTGCAGTGACCAATAATGGCACTTTACATTCGGTAGGGTTTCTCTTCTTGGTTGTGATGGGCAGACTTTCATTGAAGGATGCCATTCTCTGACTGTGTAGCCAAAACTGAAAATAGCCAAAATTTAAAAGAAAAAATAATGGTTTTGCTAGCAGTTTGGTTTCTTTTCTTTAGCCTATCACTAATTGAGTTAGCAGCAAAGGAAAAAAGTCATGCTTTTTTTTTTTTTAATGTGCAGTGAAGAACATATTATCACTTGTTGGTTTATTCATGCCACTTTACCAAACTCCTTATCCCATTCATGAAGTACATATGCTTCTTGTCCGGAAGTAGCAGAATAAAAATTTTAATCTAGTGTTTCTGAAGTGCGTGCTCAGAGGTCTTCTGTAGTACAAATGAAAACAAACATGCAAGGAGTCGTAATCAGTCTCGAAGGGAAAGGAGCACTTTTAGTCTGTGGCTTATTTAACCTGATGGATTCACAAGGGCTTTTGTGCTCTGCTTGCTGTATGTTTCATCAGAGACACAGGGCAGGGATGGTGTGACAACCGAGGCCAGAGCTCAAGCTGGTGTTTTCTTTCTCCAAGTCCAGGGCTCTTTCCACTCTGATGTCATCCAGTTCCATCTCAGTTTTTCATGTTGGATATCTGAATGCCAGAAAAGTTCAGTGGTTTGCCTGTTACTACCTAAGTGGATATATGATTTCTAGCTGGTCAGACAAAGTAGTTCCTGCTGCTGCCTCCCCATCCATTACTCTCTCTCATCCTCTTTATTTCCTGATGGCATTTATTACAGTCTGTACTTGTCTTCTTTGTTTTCTTTGTCTTCCTCTTGGAATGTAATTTCCATGTCTGCCTGAATCACTGCTCTGCACAGCCAAGTGCCTGGCACATAGTAGGTACTCAATAAAATATCTGTTGAAGGACGAAGTGAAAGAATGGATGGACGAACAGATGGAATAGTGGCAAACTAAAAGCTAAAACTTTAATCTCTCAACTTCCTACTGTATCCATAGTGCCTCTTCGGTGGTTGTGTCCTTCAGATAAAAGGCATCCTTGCTAGAGAAATTGGCTAAAGTTTAAGAACATTCCTGAAAGTTTTGTCAGTTTTTTCACATAGCATTCTGATTTTCTAATGGGAATATACTTGCACATTTAAAAAAGATTGTGTGTGGGTGCATTTTAAGGAAAAGCAGTCTATTGAAAGTTTATTTTATTTCACTATTAATGGTAATCCAGCTAGGGAAAGTAGGCACACATCACCCACTTGACTTTGGGGTTAGAAGAGCTTGACCCATTTTCAGTACAACAGAGTTGCTCCATATCATGGAATATCTCTTCCTAATGCATCTTTTGAATAATCACAGTTCCCATCTACTTGAGGTTATTTTGTTGTACAGAATTTAGGATGACAGCAAATTTGAGGCACAAACTTACTTTCACCTTCTTCAGTGGCACTGTTGGCAGCCAGTCAAACACATGATTTCCCTTGGATTAGTACCTTTTCTAACTAAATCAACTGGGCAGGCATTTATCCCCTCAGTATGTGCCTATGTCTTGTGCATATTGGAAATGAACAAGACTTGATCTCTCTCCTTGAAGAGCAGAGCTGATAGAGCAGACAGACCTTTATAGATCTTAGTGATACATGGCAGCGTAGACTGGGCTGCTCTGTGCCAAACCTGAAATTGCTTCCTCCTAACTCATCAACACCTTGGGAAAAAAGTCACTTCTTTCTGGGTTTCAGAGAGAAAGTTAAGTTAAATGATTCTAAGATTCCCTCCAATTCCAAAATTTTATGATTTTGTGAAATGCTCTCAAAAAAACTCAATACCAGATAGAAAAATAGGAAAGATGTTTGCTCCATGAAGGAAATGATAGTTGAATAGTCCTTGAAGAATTTCAACAGGAGATAAAGAAGGGCTTCTGAGTGTGAAGAAAGGAAACGAAGGAGATATGCCTACTAGAGTCTGTCAGTGAGTAGTGCATTCTGATAGTACATGTTGAGAACTGTCTAAAGATATCAGCTCATCTAGGAACATCATATCCTCTGTGAAGGGAGCATTTCACAATCCCTTCCCGCTCTTTTCTTCCCTCTAGTCAGTATTACAGAGCCTGTGTCATCCCGCATTCAGCTGAAGGATGTATTTTGTGGAAGCTCTACTAACAGTACATTAGTGCCCCTCTTATTCATGGTGTCACTTTTCCTGGTTTCAGTTACTATGGTCAACCGTGGAAGCAAGTATCTGGAAGCAGATGATCCTCCTTCTGACTTAGTGTCAGAAGGTCAGTAGTAGCTTAATGCTGCAGTGCCTCCATCATTCTCCTCACTTCATCTCATCACGTCGGCATTTTATCATCTCACATCATCACAAGAAGGGTGAATATAGTACAATAAGATATTTTGAGAGAGAGAGAGACCCACATTCACGTAACGTTTATTACAGTATATTGTAATTGTTACATTTCATTAGTTATTATTTATCTCTTACTAATTTATACATTAAACTGTAGCATAGGTATGTATGTGTAGGAAAAAACATTGTCTGTTATAGAGTTTGGTACTATCTGTGGTTTCAAGCATCCACAGGGGGTCTTGGAACGTATTCAACGTATTCTCCACGGATAAGGAGGAGAGGCTCAGATGTAGGCACAAAATACCTTAATGAAGTCCCAATATTTATTTAACCTGCTTTTAAATGACAGCACTGAAATAATTTAGTGGGATTTGTATCTCCTCACACTGGCAGCTAGCTAGCTAAGAGCATGCAGCAGAAATACACATCTGGGGACCAAATTATTCCATTGTAGGTGCCAACGAAAGCATTAATCATCAAGTTTAGAGTTCCCTTCTATCTGGAAAACATGGTTAATTCTAGTGTTAGACATTAACAGTGTAAAGGGCCTTATTAGAAGATAAATGTGTTAAAAACATACAGTCTATTTACCTTATAGAATAAGGAAGAAACTAAATTTCGTTGGGTATTAACTCTTTGCCTTCTGTATTATGCTCTGGTACAGAATATAGGATTCGGAAGAAAAAGAGAAAAAGAATCACAGAATATAGCAACACTTTCTAAAAGGAGAGCAGTCTAATATAGTTATTCAGTTGATGGTTAACTAGAGCTTATACATAACCGCCTGTGGTTAGATTGCTCCCAGTAGCCCAGTCAGCCTTTCTGTCCATCATTCCTCCCTTCTCTTATTTTCCTTTCTTCTCTTACTCAAAAGCCCATACCCAGTTTGCAACCTAATTTTGAAATTGTATTGATTTTAGAATAGAAAAAGTTTTATAACTAAATTACAAAAAAGATTAGAAAGTTCAGTAGAGAAGAAAATGACCAAAAGCTCCATTCTTATTAACGCCACTGTTAGCAACTTGATGTAATTCCATCCTCTTTCTATTATTCTTTTTTTTATTTAAGATTTTATTTTTCATTTATTTGAGAGAGAGAGAGTGAGCAGGGTGTGTGGGGGGGGAGCTGAGGGAGAAGGAGAAGCAGCCTCCCCACTGAGTAGGGAGCCCGAAAAGGGCCGATCCCAGGACCCCAGGATCATGACCTGAGCCGAAGGCAGATGCTTAACCAGCTGAGCCACCCAGGCGCCTCCTATTCTTTTTTTTAAACATATTTATCTTAATAATGTTAATTTTGTATATTTTTCCATCTAACATTCCATTTTGCTGGATGATCTCCATAATCTTCCTTTTAATGTCTACATAGTATTTGATGAAGAAAGCATACAATAATTCACTTAACTATTCTTTTATGGGTTCAATATTTGCTTTAAGATATTCTAAATAAATAATACTCTAAAAATATTTGTGTCCATATTTCTTTTTTCCATACAGGGGTTTTTTTTCTGTAATACAGATTCTTAGAAGTAGTAAGTCAGGGGTGCCTGGCTGGCTCAGTCAGTGGAGCATGCAACTCTTGATCTCAGGGTTGTAAGTTTGAGCCTCACATTGGATATAGAGATGACTTAAAAATAAAAAACAATTAGGTCAGAGATTTATAGTTCTTTGTTTAAGATTGGTTTCTGTTCTTTCAGTTATTTTCCCCTAGGTTCTCAAACTATAGCCGACAGTGTTTACATGACTTCTTGTCTCCAGCCATTTCCCCCAACTATTATACACAGACATCCTGACATCCACTTTGTTGTTCAGCTTCCCTAAGAGTGTGAGCATTTTGCAGAGTTGCATAGAAATAAATTGACTTCCCTCATTGTGAAGACCATGCTGAATAATGTGTTTGAAAGGCAAGGAAATTAAATATTTTTAACGATCAGGATAGTGGTTTAGTTTCCATCTGCCTCATTAATGCCTAATAGTCCTCACAGTATAATGGGCTTTGTTTTTGAAATATGAAAATCTGTTTTGGGCTTGCACTAATCCCAAAGAAAGGAAACAATGGATTTTTGTAATAAAATAAATGTAAACTGTAGAAAATAACAGAATACACCTGCAAAAATCTTCAGGCACTTCTATATTTATAGTTTTTCCAAATGGGCGGTAGTCTTTTTATTGATTTAAACTCTGTACCCAAATAGCCCACACTGTTAGTGAAACTGACATTTCCTATTTTCAGCAGGATTAATTTAATTCAATTCAGCAAGCATATATTGAACCTGCCCTGCTCATGAGACCCTTTGCCACGTGCTGGGAGTTATCAAACTGAGTGAAATGTCTGCTGAGTTTGTATCCACAGATTGAGAGAACCAGTCTCACAGACAGCCAAGACCAAAAGATGGTCATTGAAAAGATGTGGAGACTTTCACTTCGAAGAGAAGGTCCTTGACTTTCTGCATAGCCACAATAACAAGTAAAGTGCCTGACATAAATCCTTGTACATAGTACATGTTCAAAAATATTAATCCAAACTTCAAGATAAGTAATTTAATCCTACCAACTAAGCTTAAAATACTACTAAAAGGAGGGAGTTCATAGATAAAGCATCTATTCTGTACCAGGTACTAGGTCAGGCACGTTCATACATTATGTCAATTAATGATCACAAGGGACACTTGGGTGGCTCA